CATCAATTAAAATTTAAATTGCAATAAAATAAGGCATGAAAAAAATCAGCCGACCAGCACTGAATTGTATCAGGTAAACTAAGCCAAACGTAACCTAGCCGATTTCTGTGGAATTGTAGTATAGGAATGATGGAATTGTTCTGGGTGCTGATACTGGTGCAGTGCATTGTGGCCTATGATGAAGATGATGATGCAGTTGTAAATTATAGATCTTAGTTACCTAGACAACCAACCAACGAACCATCCAGCCAGCCGAACAACCAAATAAAAACTACTTCGCTTACCCTCACCACCACCAGCCATGGTATGAAAATTGGAGTAATTGCATGTTACCCTCTATTCCAGTCAATTTTCCGTTTTTAGTTTTTTCGTTTGGTGTGTCTGTTTATTTTTCACAGTAACGCATCTACCGTTGGGCTACGGAAAAGTAGAAGTACAAAACAATTTTGTTGCATAAATTCCACAGAGAGGCAAAGAAATTATTTTGATGCCTTCTGCCATAAAAGGCTAGAAGCTAAATTTTATTATGTGAATATGGCAAAAAAATGTTTATGGGTTATATTTTGCCCATCTGCCGGGAAATGAATTTGGCTGATGGTGTTATTTACTGTATCCTGTATTTTTATTCAGATACAAACGATTTGTAGTTTCTTTATATATTTCGCAGATTTACAAAAAAGAATATTTCTGCATATGAGAACATTAATGTGAGATTTAACAGCTATTAAGGAGTGTTTCTGTGAAAACCTATAAATTTTGTAAGAATTATACCCCTGTAGCTTCCATGAGTTGCGTTAAAATGTCCTTGCCATTATGTTGTATTCTCTATTTCTATTTGACCAGTCTAATGTATTTTATCCATCTTGGACAGAAATAGAAGTTTCGGAAGAATTCTCGGTCGAGAATGCATGTTTGCATCAAATAGTTGGTAATTTGTGTGGTTTAATTCAGAAACCTTGTTTTGTCCAAGATACCATGATTAACGTACAATTGGTTTATCCTTCCTTCTCACCAGTTTGAGTCTAATTGTTATGCGTTGAGGGGACAATAATAGCTACTAGCTAGTGGAAGGGATCTTCTTATTCTTCTTCGTGGTATGGCATTTGTCCGGCCAGAGAGGAAGTGGTGGGAAGATCAGAAATTTCTTTATGAACATCCGTCTGACGTTCGTTGGCTAGTTTCCGCCGATCTTTAAGGAATATTTCGATGCAGCCCTCGACTTGTGGATATTAGAACCAGCTTTAGCGCCATCATTCGAAGGATTCTCGTCGCCATAGTCTCCTTTAATTTAAAGGTTTGGCCCAGCTTTCTCTCTGTATCAGGCGATGACATTTTATTTTTCTTCTTCGCGGGTTTATCCTTATTGGCATCCCTCGGTTCATCGGTTCCAGAGATAAACCAACACTTGGCAGTACGTATATATATATATATATATATTCCTACCGAATTGCCTGTAGTTTGGTAATTCGAAGCTCCAATATGAATCAATGGCTCTTCCCGGAAATAAATCGGCATATACGTTCGGACATACACTACAATTTTAGACAGAATAGAACCCAAATATGAAGATGATGATGATATATCTTATATCTCATCTTCGATATATCTTATAACTTATCTTCGAACTTGACCTGCCTAAAAACAAAATTTCAGCACCTTATATCAATTCCTTCAGAAGATAACGTGATTACGACAGACGAACGGGCATGGTTAGATCGTCTTAGAATTTTAACCTGATCAAGAATATATATACTTTATAGACATGGTTAGATCGTCTAAGAATTTTACCCTGATCAAGAATATATATACTTTATAGGGTCGGAAATGAATATTTCGATGAGTTACAAACGAAATGACAAAATTAATCTACCCTCCATACTATAGAGGAGGGTATACAAATGATCAAAATTTCCCAAGTTTCCGGGGAGCCCACATATAATGTAATTGGTATGTAAAGGAGTTTGGCCAATTTTTTCAAACCGGATCGGCTTCAATTTGATTTTCCCACCGATGTAGGTGTAATTTGGTATACATGGTTATATACTTATATGTGGAAAGTGTTCAATATAGGTCTATGCATTGACATAGCTTTCCCTTAAAGGTTAGCGCCTCATTTTCTGCATTTTTATACCCTTCAGGGTATTATGCCTTTCTGCATATGTTTGTAACAGGCAAAAGGAAACGAGACAGACACATGGTTCCTTTTGAGAATAAGCATAGAATAACTTTCTGAGTCGATTTATGCATGTCCGTCCGTCTGTAGATGTTCAATTGTAAACAATGTACAGGTCGCATTTATGATCCGATTTGGATGAAATTTGGCACAAGTCATTTATTTGAAAAAAATCGGCTAAGATTTAGACATAGCTCCCGTATATAGTTTCGCCCATAGTCCTTATATATCTTTCGATTTGCATGCAATTTGGCACATCGTACTGAATTAAGGCTAGGATAATGTGTGCAAAGTTTAGTAAAGATTGGTTCAGATTTAGATATAGCTCCCGTATATATGGTGTACCGGTATATATGGGCCCGGAGGTACCGGGACCTCCGGGTCCCCTCTGCGTACGTCCTGGCTCCCGTATATAGTTTCGATTTAAGGTAAAATGTGAAAAGATTCGAGAAAATCGGGTTAGATTTATATAGCTCCCACATATATATATATATATATATATATATATGTCAGGGGAATGATTCGGGGACAGTAAGGAAAAATAAAAAAATTCTAACTTTTAATTAAATTTTGATTAAATTAGCACATATCACCCGATATCTGGGTAATATAATTAATATATTGCATTCTATCACGTTTTATATTCCTTCAGATTTGTCTGAGGACATCTCTTATATACCGAATCATTTCGGCCAATGTACCTGAAACACCCACTTAATATACAGCGATATGGGTTGCCACCACAATGTTTTATTTATAATTTTTGTCTTGAGTTAAATTGACGCCGACAAAATTAAACGGGCTCGCCTTCGTTTATTTATGTTTTGGAAAAATGCAAAACACACATTCACGCTCACACAATCACGCTCACGTTCTTTGTCACAATCTGACCAACAACTATTGTTTGCGTCAAATACAAAAAAAAACTGATTTTGGGAAACAAAATTATGGATTAACTCAAGTTTAGTAAAAACTCTTCATTTTTTTTAAATTCTTTCCAGAGGTTGGTATTTTTACCCGATCCCGGGAAACTATTTGTTCTTGGGGACGGACCTGGGACCCCAGATTTTTTACTCAAAAGTCCGGGTTTAAGACCCGGTCTGGGTGCACTTAGCCGATATGGACAATATAGATATCGTTAGAAAGTTTCCGAAAATACCTGTCCAACAAGTGGTTACATGATAGTGCATCTGTATAACCCGATTCTAACCAGTTTATTAAAATTATGTTTCCAATAACAAAAAAAGGGTGTACTTCGCATAGCCGTCGTTAGATTACGAAAACATAAAATTTAGAAAACTTTGGCTCGCGTTAGCCGATGTGGGACTTACCCAGAGGAGAAAATCTAAAGCCCTGGCCGAAGGCCGTCTATTTACAAAAAGTGTCAAATTTTGGAAATCTTTGCTTCGCGTTAGCCGGTGTAGGACATACCCAGAGAAGAAAATTTCAAGCCCCGGCCAAAGGCCGGCTATTAAAAAAACTTTCAAATTTAGAAAACTTTTGTAATTCCCAAAAAAGCTGAAGAATTATGTCACCAATTTTTGAAAAGGATTGTCGTAGCCATTCTAAAGATGTCATTATTATTTAATCCGAACTAGAACAAATGCTGTCCTTCATGCCTATTTTGTATTGCCGCATTAAATATATTGAAATTTAGTTCAAATATAAATAGTTTTAAATACATTCTATTCAACCTGTTTCTCTGAACATACCTCGATCTTACATTCATATATAACAATTTTTATATAGAACTAATTGTAGAGCTGAAAACAAGGAGATATTTTCCTCAACTATGGGGAACTTATCCCACCGTTCAAATAATTGTATTATAGGGTTGCACATGGTGAGTCCTGCCCCACTACTTGATATCTAACCAGTAAGGAAAGGCCAAAAGTCGGACGGACACCCTACACCACTGCTGTTATGTGCACAAAATTGCATTGGGTTATTTATAGCCTTCATTCGACCATATGTGTCAAATTTCATGCCTTTTGGGCTAATATTGCACATTTGGTACACAGTGCATCAAAAATCGGATGAAGATATATATTGGAACTATATCTAAATCACATCCGATTTCCACCAAATTTCATAGAGTTAATTCTTTGTGCACATCGGCTACATGTGCCAAATTTCATCCCGTTTGGGCTAATATTTAACAGGTTGTGCACAATAAGCCAAAAATTGGATGAAGATATATATGGGAGGTATATCTAAATCAGATCCGATTTTCACCAAATTTCATAGAGTTAATTCTTGGTGTATATCGGCTACATGTGCCAAATTTCATCCCATTTGGGATGATTCATATTACACAGGTTGTGCACAAAAAACCATAAATCGGATGAAGATATATATGGGAGCTATATCTGAATCTGATCTGATTATCGCCAATTTCAATAGGGTTCATCCTTGGACCAAACAAACATTGCTTGCAAAATTTCATCTCAATCGGATAAAAAATGCGACCTGCATTTTGTTCACAAAGATCGGATGAAAATATATATGGGAGCTATATCTAAATCTGATCCGATTATCACCAATTTCAATAGGGTTCATCCTTGGGCCAAACAAACATTGCTTGCAAAATTTCATCTTAATCGGATAATAAATGCGACCTGCATTTTGTTCACAAGAATACATGGACGGACGTTCATAAATCGACTCAAAAGTGATTCTATGAATATCCTCAAAAGTAACTATGGGTCTATCTCGAGTATTTCGACCTGTTATAAAAAAATGCACAAAGACATAATACCCTTACCACTATGTGGTGTAGGGTATAAAAATCTTACTCACTTTGACATGCAGGAGGCATTTTCGGAAATTTTTCTTTGGCTCGACTCCTATACAATTGGTCGAAATAAAAAAAAAACTGGTGCCGTTGTATGGGGGCTGGACGATATCGTGGACCTATACAGACAATTCTCTTTCCGGGGCTAATGTGCCCACAGAGAAACTTTTGCATAAAATTTAGACCATTTCATTGGAAAAACGTAGCTAAATCAGTAAAATACAGAATATCTAGGAGTACCGTTGTATGGGGGCTATAGGCCATCGTGGACCACAAATAACCTTTTGTGTAGAATTTCAGACAGTTCCATTAAAAATGTAGATAAAATTATTAAAATAAGTAGATATCATGGACCTATGTAGACAAATCTCTTCTTTGTGAGTACTTTACCCCTGAAAGTACTCACAAAGAACTCTTTGTGTAGAATTTCAAACAATTAAATTGAATAATGTGGATAAAAAAATCAATAACCAGTAAAGAAAGTCCTAAAGTCGGGCGGGGCCGATTTTATGATACCCTACACCAATTTGCTAATTTAGTTGAGCTCCACTTAATAATTAAAAGTTTTTATGGGAGAATTCAATCATACACGCTATGATTATAATTTAAAATTCAAAGGACTAAATATGCCGAAGCATTTGTATCTTTTAAATTCTGAAATTAATTTGAAATCGGATAAAAATATATATGGGAACTATATCCAAATATGAACCGATCTCGATAAAATTTAGCAAAGGTATTTCTGAGCTGCATTTGATATATTTCCCCAAATATTGTTGTTACAGAGTGCATATTACGGCTGCGGAGGACAAAAATAACAAATCGGATGAACAATATATGTGGGAGCTATAGCTATATCTGAACCGATTTCTATAAAATTTGGCATACTTATTTTCAGGCCTAATTTGGTTGTATGTGCAAAATTCCATACTATTCGGGCTGATATTACACGTTTGGGGCACAATAAAAGGCAAATCGGACGAAGATATATATGGGAGCTATATCTAAATTTTTACCGATTATCTCCAATTTCAATAGGGTTCGTCCTTGGGCCAAACAAATGTTGTTTGCAAAATTTCATCTCAATCGGATAATAAATGCGACCTGCATTTTGTTCACAAGAATACATGGACAGACGGACTGACGTGCATAAATCAACTCAGAAAGTGATTCTATGCAGATCATCAAAAGGAACTATGGGTCTATCTCGTTTCCTTTTGCCTGTTACAAACAAATGAACAAAGCCATAGTATCCTGACCACCTTGTGGCGTAGGGTATAAAAATCCCGAATATCGGAGGTACCGTTATATAGGGGCTGTACGATATAGTCGGCCGATATAGCCCATAATCGAACTTAAAATTTTACGCTGATCAAGAATATATATTTTGTTGGATCTAAAGTTATTATTTCGATGAGGTACACACGGAATTACGAACTAAATATACCCTACTTACTTTTTATGGTGTTTGGTATAATAAGAAATGAAAAGTTTTTATACAGTACGAAAAATACAAAAAAGTTTTATTTGTATTGCTTTTTATTTACGCATATACATACATGTTGGAAAATACTTTTACTAAACTTGTACAAAAAAAAATACTTTTTATTCATTTATATATTTTGAATGAAAATACTGATACTGATAGAATACATTTTTTTAAATATGGTTTTATATGTGTCTTACATATATTATTTAGTTTTTGAAGATATAAACTTCAAAAATACAAAAAAGTTTGATTTGTATTGCTTTTTATATAGGCATATACATACATGTTGGAAAATACTTTTACTAAACTTGTACAAAAAAAATACTAAAAAAATACTTTTTATTCATTTATATATTTTGAATGAAAATAGTGATACTGATAGAACACATTTTTTTTAAATATGGTTTTATATGTGTCTTACATATATTAGTTAGTTTTTGAAGATATAAACTTTTTTAAATGTGTACAAACACAGTTTACAAAATATTTGTTTGTCGCAATCGCGTTTATATACTAGAAATGTGCACTCGAATTTATCGTATATGTATTGACCAAGAATTGTTAACATTTTGTTAAATGTATTAACTGTTTATATCAATGTGTAAGAAAATGGAAAAAGGAAAATAGCAGCGTTATATAATATATTCTTGTAGTCCGAAGGAGTTGAAAATTGTAATTTTGTTTAGCTAGGTTTTGTAAACACTGTTTTGCAGTGAATGTAGTTCATGTAATTTCCAAGGATTGAATGATTAGAGTTGAGTATATATAATCTGTAAATAGAAGGTAATTAGATTAATGTACAGAAAGAATATATTTTAATCAAATATATGTTGTTTTGTTCTATAAGTAAGTATGATTTTATCATTATGTTTAAGTAACTGTATATGTTTGAATATAAACCATTTTAAATTCATGCAGAAAGAGCTTTCGCTTTTTTAATGCAGAATAAACGTGAGGGAGGTGCCGGATAATCAAAAAAAAAAAATGTTTTCAAAAACACATAGTGTTTTAAAAATGAGGCATGTCTTTTATTGTAATTACCTAAGCAATATTTAGCAATAATTATAATTAACACCGCCACATTAGTGTCAAGTTTTATGCAGTGTTTGAAAACCAATTCTGTGGTACCGTACCTTAGCGTTCCGTGATGGGAAGAAAAGTTATGCTACACGTAGGTAAAGTACAAACAATAAAAAGTATTTATCGTTAATGTATATTTTGTACATTCGTTTGCAGATTGGACATTTTAAGCGCGTATATTACAAACATCGTATACCATTAGTAGTGTGTACTTTAAGAAACAATTATTGGTAGTGCACACCTTAGTGTTGCTTATAAAGGATACGTGTTATGTCAATTTGAAACATATGGAAGCAATGCCACAATTTTTAAGGTATCTAATGATGTACACTACGTTGTTTTATGTATAGGTTTCTGTAAAGAATAGTTTTGGTTAAACGATAAAATCATAGACTTTAATTATATTTTTGTATAACTGGTGTGGTTTATATATATAAATATATATTTCCTTAAAAATAAATTTTATACAATCTGGGAGATATTCCGAAGGATGATTAGAATAAAAAGCTTGGCTCAAATTTGAAGAATGTGACTTTATCAAACATTATTCACAAAAATCATCAAATCAATTCAAACTTTAAAATCAGCAAAGGATATTATGGAAAGTTATCCTTTGAGTAAAAATGCAATTTAGTGATAATACACAAATTGAAAACTATATAAATTTATGTGGATACTTACATAATTTACCATTTAGTTCTACTAAACATTTTCTTTCGAGCAAACTCCACATGTGTTTGTTTTCTAAAGATTATTCCAATAAAAATAATATGTGCTGAAACTGAACCGCAAAAATTATAATGAAATTAGTAAATATAAAATTAGTTTAAGGAATACACAAGCAATTTTATTTACCTCACTGTATTAAAAACTTTATTTACGGTTTAGAAGAGCGAAAAATTCTTCTTTGGTTGTCTATCCAGGCTTTAACCTGAGCCGGTTTTCTATTTCGGAGACTTCCGTAAATATTTATGACATTTTTGCATTCATTCAATGAAGGCAACTTTTCTAAGCTTAAAATATCTCCAAAAGCCGATGTTATTGCTTGTCTTTCGTCTTCAGACCATCTAGTGCGTTTTGTTTTTCCGAACGGAGAAGCTACGGGATATCAAAAAGTAGTAAGTTCATATCCCCTTAAAATGTTAGATGAACGAATTTGAGCGAGTTACTATTAACCTCATTATACCCTATATCAGGCAGTGGTAGGGACACTATCGAATTATGCATTAGCTTGTAGCATTCAAAAGGAATCGAGATGGACCCATGTTGCTTTAGGTGATATGAATAGGCCAAAAATTTGAGTCGATTTATACTTTCCGACCATCAGCGCTCAGCCTATAGAACGCATTCAACGCCCAATTCAGTTAAACATGTTGTTTTTGTTGAACATTGGTGGAGATTTGGATAAAGCGCTTTTATATTTTTTCAGACAATTTGATGTAGTTGATGCACAAAACGCTAAATGTATGTTCAATTTCATAGAAATTAGTAAATTGTCACGGAATTGGGTAATGAAATCGGTTCAGAGTTAGATACAGCCCCATATGAAAAATTAAATGAATCCATTACGCAACATTTATCCAATTAAAATTTTGAAAAGCTCTCATGCATACTTTCGATGCACTAAAAACACAATCTTTGTCCAATTTCGATATAGTCATAATGGTAGGTAGCGTGCCCATATATATTTTAATGTAGTCAATCTTAAGTATGGTCAAATTAGACGGCTCTTGTAGTAACTCGCACAAATTTATTCGGTTTTAAAGAAACAGAAGGGATATTTAGGTAAAGGAAGACTAAAGAAAAGTATTTCAATGTTTTTTATATACTTTTTTGCTAAACTTACTGCTACGTTTTTTTAACTTAGAAGAATTAGTATTTTTTGAAACTTCAATGGTTGATGATGTAGATGATATTTCTGATGTTGACGATTCATTAAGTAACCCTTCGTCTTCTATGGTATTATTAATTTCAATATCCTCCTCATTTATTTTATTTAGGGTCAAAGTTTGAACATCAATGTCCTTGATTGTATTGCAACCAGCAGCAGATAATAAAATTTTAGAGACTGTCGTTATTTCGGCCATTGGAACAGGCATTCGATATATGTTTTTATGTATGTCTTTATGATGGCCTAGGAAGTTGGCTAATCTGTCAACAGTAGCTTCTTGGACATTTAATAAGGACGTGTATGTGGCGATATGTTTCCTCAATTTTGTGCCTCTTAGATTGTCAGGCATGGAAGCTCCACATTCGTTTGCGTATTTTCTTAACAATGGGCACGCTCTGTAGTACATTTTTGACAAGTTTGATGTTGCTGGAGCGCTAAATATATATGGGTTCGAATTTTTTATACCAGCATTTTTGCGAAATTTTAAAATAAGTTGCACAGCCTTTATACACATCGGATCCAATAATACGCTGACTGTTCTTCCTAATTTGCCCCTCAATGATATTCTTACAAATTGTTTGGCAAATTGAATTGACTCCTCTGACATATTGTCAAGAAGACCTGCCTCCAAACAATTTGTAATTTCTTCTTTATTGGTAAAATTGTCAATAGTTATTCGTTCTATTTCTCCTGCTCTTCTCCTGTTAAACACCTGGATACATATTAAGGTTGTCTCAACGAGATTCTTCCAAGCGTTTAAATCAAATTTTTCCGTTAATAATGCAATTGAGTCCAGCATTTTTGATCTCAGAAAGTCGTATAGCTTTTTTATATCTTGTTTGTTTGGCAAATCATTTCTTTTGTTTCTTTTTTGATTATATTGGTCCTCGATCGCTTTTTTATTAATCTGAGTGGGGGTTTCCTCAGTCCAAAGGGACACAAAGTTGTCAAGAAGAGACTTCATATCATCATTTTGTTGCTTGATAAGCTCATTCCTCTGTATTCGTGCACATTTTTTTATTATACTTGTCAAATTGGTAGCTACAGCCGGCGTGGCGAACCCTTTGCCGAATTCATATTTTG